CTATAGGAGCAAAACGTGGCAGCTTAGAGGCCAAACTTCCAGCTCGCAACGCACGTTAGGGAAACTGGCCATACTTTCGATCTTTACGGAACTGTCATTCGTTGATGAAAATGCACCCGACGGAACTCATTAGTCCCGCTGTGCCTAGGGCCTCAACAGCCGAAGCAGTTGGTAATATAGGCAAATAGTATTGCCGGCAAAGAAAAAGGAGACTGGAATGTCCATTTCTGGCTTATTAGCCGATGTCAGCCAGTCATACACAGAGCCAAGTGGCGTCCCACCGGAGCCTCGAACTCACAACCTCTTTGATCAGAGTCAAACGCCCTAACCATTGAGCCACGGGTTCGTTGTCTTGCCGGTTTTTGATCGTGAATATACAATGAAAGATAGGCATACACCAATCAGTTAGAGGACACACTCATCCGTCCATGGTGCCTTTGGAGCTCACACTCGAGCCTACGCCGCGAGGCACCTAACTGAATGTCCGAACTTAAATTAGCCCTCATAACGTTTCTAGATTAATGTAAAATTATTTGAGCTTGTCTACTTCGACTGTAGATCCGGATTTACGCGCAAGGAAGCTGAGGGCTAGTATGCAGTTCGTACTATTTCTCAACATGTAACTTACCACTCAAGGCTCAGCACCTAAACCTTCGTGGTCAGCTTACGTTATCACCAGAGCGGAATATATTAAGATACTTATTCTCCTATACATGAATAGTACTTTTCAAGGGATCGAATAAACGTGAGTGGTCCACGCGGCAAAGTACGCACAACTAGTTAATTTCTTATCTCAGTCATTAAAAAACTTAAAAGTATGCACTGTGGCAAATATGGTAAGGAATGCAGGTTCTGTTCGTGCTACCTCCGTTATCCTTTATCGTCTTCTCGAGAAGACGCCTATTGTGTATCCGTTTGTGATCTCTCCTTGTTTACTTTCACCTTGTACAGGACGACCATAACGATGTGCGCAGTACGGATGAAGAGCTAATAAAGGTGACAAATATACCACCGCATAGGATGCCCAGTGGCACAGGGTAGTCGGTGCCCTCTGACTCCACCATGAATCCAACCATTACTTTAAGCTCCACGAAGCAGTGCGATGGTCGCAGCATGCTAACTTAAACTACAAGCAGACTAGGGTCTAGGCAGATAGTATTGCCGGCAAGGACATAGTAGACGGGAATGGCTATTCCTGGCTCATTAGCCATCATACCCAGACCCAACTGGTGCCCCGCCCGAGCCTCGAACTCACGACCTCTTTGATCAGAGTCAAACTCCCTAACCATTGAGCCACGAGCTCGTTGTCTTGTCGGTTGGAGGCTCAGGTA